AGAAATTGTAAAATGGATTTTTGGTCAATTGGCTATCGGTACCCTAACTTGAGCAGGTGTTTTTCAGGGTTTCCCACCAGAGCTGAACTTCAACATTTTAAGGCATGTTATTACACCTTTACAAACATGTTGGTGAAGAAGTTGTTTGGTAATGATTTAGTTGGCAGGTTTGTGAAAAATCTCATAAAATGCCCTTACTAATAGCCGATAATAGAAGAAGAAATAAGGAACCTGGATTACACAGTTGGTAAAATAATAATAAAAAACATTAACAGGCATGTTTAGGTTTTAAAACAAATGAATGAAGTAGAACAAGAGCAGCTGGAGGTAAAATAAGATGAAATTAAAGTGAGTAAAAACAGCAGTTGAACCCACATTTAGACATTAATGAGGTAACATAAAGTAAAAAATACAATCAGAGGCGTATCGATAAATAATTCAATTCAATTTCAATTTTATTTGTATAGCGCATATTTACAACAGTCATCTCATAGCGCTTCAAAAAGGCAAAAACAGAAACACCCAACAATCTAGAACATTTGGATTCCCTATAAGCTTCAGCAGTTCGCAAGCAGTGGGAAGGAACCAAAACCCCCACAGGAGAAAAAAACCTCAGACAGAACCAGGCTCAGGGAGGGACGGCCATCTGCCTCGACCGGTTGGGTGAGAGTGGGATGAATTATACAATTTAGTTTACAGTTAAACAAGTTAAACAGTAAAAGCTCAGCATGCAGCTACAGATTTACTGTCATCCGTCTCAGTGCAGAGTGACAAACATCCAGGAGCAGAAGAGTCCTAAATATTAGTCGGTTATCCTGGGACTAAACCAGAACATCTCCTTTAAATCTTAAGTCCTGAAGAAATACAGAAACTCTCAACGCAGCATCCAGAGTCAGAAAAAAGTCGCCTTTGTTCTGCAGCTCGGCAGGTTGGTGAAGTAACGTGCAGGAAAACAAGGTTTTCTATGTTCAGGGTTAAGTTCTGATGCCACAGAAGGGAGATCGGTTGAACTAAGTCGAGTTTATCGATCAGAAATCTGGATCCTCGGAGCTGTTTTGACCATGAAGATGTATAAAATATGTGTTTATGCACATGTGATGGTTGTCAGCTTCATAATCCTGATCATACCGGGTGTTAAGAAGACTCAAGAAAGTAAATAACTCGATATAATGATGTGGATTATTAGTAATGATAGAGGGGCTGATATCTAAAACTGATGCACATTCACAGTAAAAATACAAATCTAGAAAAAAAAACCCTAAAATTCCTTGTTTTTTCAAAACATTTTTTATGTGTTTAATTAAAAGTAAACTTCTCAACAATTAATAATAAATAATAACTACACACACACATATATATGTATATAACCCTTAAAGAGGATGTACAGACTTCTTTCCAGACATGGCAATAAAAGAGAAAAGACCAGAGGCAACAGTGGGAAAAGCAGTTGAACAGTAAGAGAATTAAAAAATAAATCAAAACAGCACCAGATAAAGTCATAAAAGTAAATGGAATTAAAGAAAACTGAGAGTAAAACTATAAACACGAGGCTGAAATATTAATACTAGTAGTAATAGTAAATAAATACATAAAATAAGTATTTAAATAAAGGTAAAAGAGAATGTGATGACTGTAATGTAAATTCAATTAGACCATAAAAATAGACCTTGCATAAAAGTGAGCCTCAAAATAATGGGTTTTAATTCAGGCACGTTGTTCTGAAGCTAATTAACCTTCAGTGCTGATTGGCTTTTACTTGTAACCAATCAGAGAAGAGACGCTGGTCGGGTTTAATGGCTGTGTCAGAACCTGACGTGGAACATTTTAAATAGGTTTATTTCAAACGTTTACTGATAATCAAAACAGTCTCATGTGACATCATAAATCTGTTCTAAAACTACAAACAAAGTCCTGAAAGCTGCTCCAAAAGTGTGAACTCACCGTACTGATTGACCGATTATCGGCCTGGTTGACGCTTCAATCTGACACCAACAGTTTCCTCGTTACACTAAAAAATTCCCAGAGTAGCTAACGCGTTGGTGCCGCTGCAGCGTGCTTTGCTGACAGCGCTAGGCTAAAGCTAACGCTAGCAGGTTTGCGGCTAACGCTATCTGTTCTAACTGAACAAGAAGCACAAACATCTCCACAAAGCGCATTGGTTGCTGCTTTCACGGTGACTAATGCTAAGCAGATCAACCTGGAACAGTCGCTTTAAGGTTGGGGCCTTAGTGGGCAATGAAAGCGATAAAATTGTGCAGGATTAAGAGAACAGAACAAGAACAGACGGGGCTGCGGGAAGCAAACCGATCAATCTCAGTCTATCAATCGATCAGTAAACAGAGGAGAACGCTACAGCATCACATGACGTCATCACTTGTATGTTTCCAGTGACAGTCATCTGTATCAATGAAGGAGATTGGTTATAATTAAATATGTTTCTGTTCCACATATCAGTTATTGATCTGGCTTGAACAGCAATAATCTGACAAAACCAAATCCCAAACTCCTGGCTGGAATAAATAACTCGTGTAAAATCATGAAACGTGGGTTAAAAACATTTTTCTTCAGCAGAAAAAAATCCCTAAAAGCTTAAATTTCCAACAATTTTATCTGAATCTCTGACTTTTTGTCCCATAAAACATGTAAAATCTGCATTCACCTTTCAAACGAACATTGTAAGTTGCTCTTTGGGGACTTCTGTGGACTCCCAGAAGTTCGTCTGTCAGCTCATTACTCCAGTCCGGCCTCCTCCTGCTCGTTTACTGTGATATACGTGGTGTCGCGGCTCCCACTCCTCACTAATTGGTCGGGCAGAGCTTGTTAGACTGATTTGTAGAGCGAACAGGTGGTCTCGGTGCCGCCGGCTCCGCCCTGGTCCTGACAAATGCCTTCTGTATGCGGAGGTGACTCGACGGTGGGAATTATTGGAGTAAAAGTGGGCTGTGAGGCGGACGTTTCCTCCGGCTTTCAGTCGGGTTCAGACCCTCCGATTAATGAGCTCCCACATCGTTAATAACGGACCAGTCAGCAGCGCCACAACCAGTTACAGCTGCCCAGTACCCTCCAGTTCCCACCTGAACCCTTCACAGTTTCTATCTACAATAACTTCAGCTGCAGAAGTTCTACCTTCAGAGTTCCAGGTCCTTGAAGTCCACAGAGGAGGCTCCAGATTTATCACTTTAATGGACTTTTTCCTTAATTTCTGAGCCTCATAACTTCATCAGTACAGCAGATAGACACATGACATTTAGGAGGAAGAACACATCTGAGTTCTGGTAGAAACTGACACCAGATCAGTTCTACATCCATCCAGGTGTCACAGTCTGAACACTGGATCTGGTTTCTGTCTCTATAGTCAAATTTGAGCATCAGTACTATGGAATGTATCATAGTTTCATGTCACAAAGAGACAAAACTGTCCCAAAGACACCTAAAACGATCAAAATGTGACACAAAACAAGAGAAGCGATGAACAAAATGTCTATATTTAGACACAAAATGTCAAAAGACAAAAAGGAAAAAAGTTCCAAAGACAAACAAAACTGATGTGAAATCACAGAAGGAAGACAAACAATGACAAAGACTAAGAATTCCATCCAGGTGTCACAGTGTGAACACTGGATCTGGTTTCTGTTCATGTCCTCTGTAACCAGCTGGTAGCATCAGTATTATGGGATGTATCATAGTGTGAACAGTTTAATGTCTATGACACAGAGTCACAGAAACAATCGTTGGTATCCTGGATGTGTTTCTGGTTTCTGATCATTCACCAGAGAAAACGTTAAAAAGACCATTTTTGTTCATCTTCAAGTCTCAGTTCCACCTTGATGATGCTGCCACCGCCGTGCTTCAGGGTGGGGATGGTGTGTTTGTGATGAAGTGCATTCTGGGTAAACTTTCCAGGCTCATATCAGCATGTGTGATGGTGGTTGATCAGAGGCGACTTCCACAGATTAAAACATCTGATTTGTTTTGAGCTGCAAATTGTTTCTGCCAAACTTTTAAGGAACGATAATTCAGTGAACGAAAGAGTTTTATAGTCTTGATACGTGAATAAAACGAAGCTCAATATGAACATAAAGACCCAAGTAACAGTAGAAGTGGCTCAGAGGGGATCCAGGAGTTCTTCAGGTTCATCTCCATCCACAGCTTCTTTGCATTAAAGTGAGATAAAGTTGTGTTTTATACAATTTATCGTATCGTTTCTAATGAATTGTATTTCCACCCCGCAGACGGTGAGTCGCCACTTCAGGAATATTCCGGTGAACGAGAAGGAGACGCTCACCTACTTTATTTACATGGTGAAGAGCAGCAAGAGCCGCTTGGACCAGAAAGGCGACGGCGGGAAACCGCTGGACTAAAAAAAACCTCCTCCGACGGCGGCAGAAAGCAAAACAAAACAAAAAAAAAACCAGACGTCACCGGTGAGCAGCAGCAACCAAAACCACCGCGACGCGAACTCCTGCTGTCCCCGAGGATGTTTAAACCGGAAGCCGGGCGAGACGTCGGCCTCGTTTTTTCGGACCAGTTTTGCTGTTTCTGTCTTTCTGTCCCGACGAACAACGTCTCCGCACGATATCGAGCTGCCTTAAAGAAACAAACAACAAAACAAACCTGGATTCCTTTGAGTCGACTGTTACCACCGCGACGGACGCTGGTGCCAAACAGGAAGGTGTTTCGGAGCAGCTGTTTTGCTTTTTCTTCTTCTTGTCTATGAAATAAACGGGGGCTCAGGTTCAGTCGATGAAAACTGCAAATTCAATCTTTAATAATGTCGCAGCTGAACCGAGTTCCAACCTCGAGGACGTTTGAAGGCTTCAGCCGCGACTCTCCTGCTTGTTAGTTTTTTTTTTGTTTTTTTTTTAAGTACGAACACTTCCTGGTTTGTTTCTCAGTGCGTAGCCGGTGTCGGTAGCTTCTTTCTCTGTAACCCACGTTTTAGTTCAGCCTTAATTCTGCAAAGTGTGTAAAGTTTGATTTTCTCCATCTTTTCATTCTTATTTGTTATCGTGTCCACATGAAGTGAAAGCTGTTCGCCAGAGGAATCGTCTTTTTTTAATATTTAAGAGTCGCAGCGACAAAACGACTATTCCTGGTTTAAACGTGGCCGTCGGCTGCTTCCTACAAATCACAATTTTAATCGAAGCTGGTTGGTGACATTTTTAATTTTTTTGTCTTTTACATGCATTTAGATGAAACTTTGCTTCATGGGTTTTTTTCCCAAAACATCTGAATTAATTTGGCACCAAAACCACAACAGTTAGGTGTTTTTTTTTTAGATTGGGTATTTTGTTGGTAAAAAGCTGCAGCTTGTGATGGAAAATGACAACATCCAATCAAACTGTGCCGAGCAGCTTTCTAGAACTTCTAATGCACTGCTGAGGCCTCCAGGCGACGGGCCGCCGCCACGCCGTCCGATGGGCGGCCCAGTGTTTGTACTCACGGTTTGGGTTTTCTGTTGGGATTTTAAAGTACTTAAGTTCGTCCACCACACTGACTTCACCTGGTTCTTTTTTTTTTTTTTAGTGTCTGTTTTCAGTTTTGCTCGTAGGTTTTAGCGTCATGTAGATAAAACTCATGGTTATTAACGTCTAGGTCGCGCCACATTAACCTGATTGTTGTATTAGAAAAAAAAAAAAAAAAACATATTTAAGTACGGCTGCTTACTGCTCCTAATAATATTAATAAATGTATTGTACAGGCAGCGTTTCCGCTTCTTCATGTTCAAGTTGTTCAGTTTCAGCCGTCGACCAGCAGGCGGCGCCGTCCGTCCTCCGGTGGAGCCGAAGCCTCCAGGTACACAAGCTCCTCTTCCTTCCACTATGAGTTTGGTGCAGAAACACTCAGCGGGATGCAGAAGATTCAGAGTTTCATGTTTAAAACGTCACGTTATGAATGACTTCACACAATCAAACAGGTCTTGTCTTCACGGTGTTGCATCAAGTTCATGTTCAAAGTTATGCGTTAAAACTGGATTAAAGGTGAGATCAGTAGGTTTTGGATCTGCATTAGAGCAGATGTTCACTTTTTTTTCCAGTTTGCAAACTAAGTTAAAAATGTCCTTTTAATTAACAAAGAAATACTTGCAGCTTGTTTTTTTATGAGGAATTAAAAATGTGGATTTATGCTGCCAGTTCTTAAATAAATAAAAAATAGTTGGTTTTGTGGGAAAGAAGAAAATCCTTCAATTCCATTAAAATTAAACATAACTTCATTTATAGTCTCTAAAACTTAAAATTAATTAAGAATATAAAATAATAATAAATCCACTTCCACTGATGGCTGCTTGTTATTTTGTAACACTGGATTCAACCTTCTCACATTTTTAGAAACAAAACTTATTCGGTGAATAATTATTAAATTTAACTCAAATGTAAAATCTCGTGACCTGGATGTGATTAAAATCACTTTGATTTTATTAAATGTGTTTCACACCGTAAATCAGCAGAGAAGTTTAAATATTGACTCACATTGTTTAGTTGTATGATTTAAAAACAGAAATAAAATTAAAGCCATAAATAATTAAATTTACCACATAAAGAAAGATTGAAGAATAAATAATAAAATTAAGTCTTTAATTAAAAACTTTAACAGAACTAAACAAAGTTCTGATCTCTGGATGTAAAACTTTACATTTGAATGAAAATTTTAAAATAAATACATTTGTAGATTGTGAGTGCCTTAAAGAAAATCTAAATTAACACGATAATTAACAAAATTACTAAAACTAACGGCATTTATCCCTTTATGTGGCTCTGCTAGCGTTTTTTTAATTTTTTTTTTAAATATGTTTTTATGTAAAAATAAAATTTATCTCAACAGTTAAAAAAAACTGTTGAGTTAAAGGAATGCAATTAAAAATATTTGTAATTATTTCATCACTGGCAGCATAAAGTCAAGTTGATGATTATTAGAAAATGAAGTTGCTTCAACTCATTTGTCCACTTTAAGTTGTTCTTTAATGTTCTCTGTTTAATTACTATAATTATGAACACTGGGTTTAAAGGTGACAAGTTGCTCCAGTTGTTCATTTAAAAAAACAAGATGAAGAAAATTAAGTCAATTAGTCGTTTTAATGAAGTTACTGTGATTAGAATTCAGGCCTCATGTAGAAATCTGACTTTAAATGACTCACAGCAGTGAGTTGGTTCAGCGTTATTACCTCTAAACAATATTAAAGCTAAATGTTTATCTGAAAGCCTGTCAGAGCAGCACATGTAAAGCTGATTATGAACTCTTTTTAAACAATAACGTGCTTCAAACAGTGCGTCCACATCATTTAAATGGACTTTTTGTTCATGTTATGTATTTAAATGAGCATGAACACAAGTCGACAAATAAGTGACAAAACTACGTAGAAATGTCGTTTTCCAGCTAATTTAATTAATTTACTACAAGTTGAATGAAACCAACTTGTGCAGAAATGTAAGTTTAAATCAGGTTGATGCAACATTATTATGTCAAGGAGGTGTTTTTAATTCTGTATTATTATGTCATCATAATTAGCATGATGTTGACGTTTTTAATGGAGTGTTTCCTTTTTATTATTAATTACCATCATTATGAACAAAAGATTTCAAGTTGAGAATTTAGATGAAAAGTAAAATGAGTTATTAATGAGTTTAAATCAAGTTGATGCAACGTTATTACATCATGTTTGCAGCTTCCTGCAGCCAGACGTTGGTAAGGAAAATAAAAACGTGTAAAAACCTAAATAAATCAAATAGTACAAATGATCAGCTGAAGGACAGAAAGAAAAACCACAACCGGAGTGTCTTAAAATAATTCATTTATTTACGGAACTAAATATATATAATTCACATCTAATGCACATTTCGCACAATCATAAAACTTTTATCCTTTTTTTTTCTGTGTGTTTGTTTTTATTTTTTTCTCGTCGGAGTGAAAAGCTGCGTGAACTCTGAAGTGTTTTTGTTTTTTTCTCTCCGGACAGTTCTGAGGTAGATTCAGGATTTAGTTTTGTTTTTTTTTTGTTTTTTTTCTCCACCAGAAACAAAACAGCTTCAAGAGTTTACAGTTTAATTAAACATCTCAGAATAAAATGCTGTGACTGCGACAAACCAGCGGGATGAAATTATTAGAATAATAATATTAATAATAATAATAATAATATATATTAAAAACAAAAAACAAACGTGTTTCCTCTGAAAGATGTGTTTCCAGCGGCCGTGGTTTTATTTTCCTTTATTGAACACGAAGCTGTTCGGTTCAGTTGGACTCAGAAATCTGCTTCATGTTTGTTTCAACTGATGTGAAATGAAACCTCATCTCACTTTTAATAACCGAGTTGTGATTTATGAACTTTTCCAAACCCAAAATTCACTTTGAATAAATACATTGAAGCCAGAATGAGTAAAATAATGAAATAAAATAAAAACGTTTCACGAGTTGTGCTGAAAATGGAATAGAAAAAAAAAGAAGTTTGCGTTCTTCTCAGTGGCTTTAAATTAACAAACAAACTCAGATTATTAATTAATATTTTTTTCTTGATTGGATAAAAAAATAATAATAAAATAAAATAAAATCTGAGTCCGAAAATGAAACTAAAGGCGGGTTTGAGAGGAGACATCCAGCTGGAATACAGAGATTTTTTTGCGCACCTAAAGTGGTTCTAAAACTCCTCCAATTTGATTTTAATTTCTTTATTTCACGTCTTTCTTTCTTTCTCGCAGCTGAACGCGCAGGACGAAGCCGGATAAACACATTCTTTCAGCGGAGACAGATGTTTCTGTGACACCGTCGCCACATCTGGCGCGCAGTCCTGCAGAGGGTGGAAACATCAAAAAGCAGAAAAAGCGCATTTTCAAACACCTACAGTCAGATCTGGAGTCAGAAAGGAGAAAAAAGAAAAACACATCAGGACGGAAAGACGAGCAGCCAAGTATCCAACAACCGTCCACAGCCTCTGCGCTCCGGGAGGCTTTTACGCACCACAGCGGTGCGTTCAGGTTCACCCAGTCAGTGGTTTTTCTTCAGTTTCTTTTTTTTTTTTTTAATCCGATTTGAATCCGGAGTCTGTGAGGAGTTTGGGTTTTTTTTCACTGGTTGAGCTCCAGAGCCCAGACCTGCTGCGGCCACCCGGTCCGACCCTTCGCCTTCTTCTCGGCTCCTAAAGACTCGTGCAGGCCGTCGGTCTGTGGAGGAGGAGGAGGCACAACAGCGACAAAATGTGACGATCTGCGCCCAAAATGTGCACGTCTGGTGACGCAACCAGGGCCGTGACATCACTCAGTGAAAGCAAACGAGCGAAGCAGCCAAAAGGTAATTCAGCAAACAGGTCGAGTAAAGCAGCAAACACGAGGCTGGCGCGTAAAACTTCACCAGCAGCATAAAAATGGATCCAGAATAATTCTGCCAACATGTTGTGATGTAATTTTAAACAAGTGGCTCCAAAATAAAACTTAAATTAATCCTGAATTTTACTGCAGTAGGATTTTAAAATTTAACAACATAAACTAAATATGTTGATTGAATTAACTGATGTTTGGTTTTTTAATCTTCTTCCTTTTCTGTTAAATGATGTGACTAATGTCATATTTAAGGGTTCAAATTTGAGCAAACTGTGAGCTGCTTTTTTAACTCATAGCTGACAAACAAAACAGAATTAAACACCATAAAGCTGCTCCTTGTTGGATTAAAAAAAATCTCATTAAAAATGTTCCTGTTGGAGAGAAAAACTAGAAACGATCAAAGCAGGCTTTGTGGGTGTGTTTGTGTTTGTGTTTGTAATCTGCAGCCCGGAGTTACATTTAAATGCTTAAGCTGCTGAATTACACAGAAACGCTTGGATGAGCAGAAAAGCGTCCCGCGGCTCCACAGCGTCTAACTTACCAGCTCCCGCTTCCTTTTCAAATCCCGGTTTTCAAATTTCTTAATCTCGGCCTTAAAGCCTTCAGTCTCTCCGGAGTCTTTGGCCAGGACGTCCATCAGATACGCGATGTAGCTCGTCGCCAGGCGCAACGTTTTGATTTTAGACAGTTTGGTGTCCGCCGGCACGTTGGGGATACACTCCCGCAGCTCGGCGAACGCTGTGTTGATGCTCTCCGTCCTGCGGCGTTCCTTCTTCGGCCCCGACGCTCTCCGCTTCCCCATGCCGGCCTGGAGCCCCTCCAGTCGGCCTTCGTGCGTCGCCCCGGGCGCGCCGAGCTCCGCGGCCGGGTAGGGCGCCTGGATCTGGAAGTCCGGGGGCACCTCGCCGTGGTTCACCACCCAGCTCTGGAAGTAGGGCGCGTCCTGGTGGCACCGCTGGACGAAGGGGAAGGGCTCGTGCATCAGGTGGTGGTGATGCTGGTAACCCCCGATCAGGTTCATGCTGAGCCGGACAGCAGATGTGCTCGTTGCCGCGTTTTTCCTCGATGTCTCTGCGCCGCGGCCCCAAAACGGTCTCTGCTCGGGGATCTGCAGCCTCCAGAACTCATTCAAGACCCAAATATGTATCCGCGCGGAGTCATCAGAACCGCAGCAGCTTCACAGCGGCGTCATCGTGGAAGCGGCTCCGGCCGAGGCGCAGCAGGCCGTATAAACTCTGTAAATCCAAGGAGCAGATCTGGACGATGCGCAGCGCTCCGCTCTGGTCTGCCCGAGAAATTTGACCCCGAAGAAGGTGTGAGGCTGCAGGTTTATATGGCCTGGATGTGAGCGCGGAGAGCAGGCAGCCAATGGAGAGGAGCGGCCCGGATGGGAGGAGAGTCTGGAGAGGTTTGGAATAAGGTGGTGCCATAATCTGAAGGCGCTGCACACAGAGCACGTATCTGCGTGTCGACGCTGATAATCAGAATGTGACGAGAAACTGCTTTAAGTTTCTGGTTTTATTTTTATTTATTCTTAAAAAAAAAACAAAAAACAAACTGCAAACCATTTCTTTGTGGGATTTTGTGTCCCTCTTTTTTCCCCAGTTGTGGAGACGTTTTACGCACTGATTTTACGCACCATCTGTCGGAATATACCTGTTAAATTAGGTGCTGCTGTGGTTCAGTGGCAGAAATAATAATCTGTAAAACTTTTGTATTTAATAATTCGACCATGATTATGTGTGAATGCTGCACAGATTTTAACATGAAATGGCGAATATGAAAAGTGCGCACATGAATTTGAAAAGAAGATTATGTTTGAGAGAAAATATTTAACAAATCAGATGCAGCTGAAGATTGCTGCTGATAAAAGTAAGATAAAAGTTTTTTTTATCGTTTGACTCTGGAATTTAAAAAACATAAATAACGATTTTCGACAGATCAGAATAAACGAGGTCAGAATTTGGTTTGGATTAAACTTTCTACTCTTTATTTCATTCAGTTTTAATCAGTGTGTTGCAGCAGCACGCTGGTTTCATCTGAAATTATGAAATCATTTGTCCTTCATTCAGCTTCTTTCACCCCAAGGCGTGGATGCTTTCATGCGTAATGGTCATTTTGTGCGTAAAATTGAACCAACATTAACATCCACCTCTCCTTCTCCAGTAATAACACCAGAAGTGTAAATGAACCTCGTGACGGATTATTTGGTACTTTTGGGACACATCCGTGGCCAGTTGTCATCCGCATACCTCAGCAGCATAAGAGGGGAAAAAGGCCTTGTTTTATCTGCGCGTTAATTCCTGGCACACTAAACACATCATCTTATCGCCATCGCCTAAAAAACATTATCCCATTACATCGCATGACCTTGACGCTATTTAGAAACCATTTACGGCGGCGTCTTATCTAAATACAGCCATAAATCAGGAGGTGTCAGCCTCCAGCGGGGCCGCACGGATTCCATAAAAGCTCTCCTGGTCTGCTCACTGTTTACAGCAGCGCTCTGCCGCATATTTCACCGTCCAGCCGCGTTACGATAAATAATCATCAGTCACAACTTTATGTCCCTGATTTCACACGAACGCACAGAACGCAGGCTGCACGGAAAATATTCTCGCGTTTGGGCGTCTTTTCTTGTGATTTTTCTACTTTATTTGACTCTAAAAATTCAGAGTTTACAGGTTTAAAAAAAACCAAAACTTTAATGCGTAAAAAGCGAATGTTGTGTTTGAAGGACGTCACCACCGGAAGCAGCTTTTCACTTGAATGCATCATTAATTTAACATATTCATAAAGAGCCATGGTATCATTAAATAACGCACCTTTTAGCTGTTTTCTGCTGAACAAGAGACAAAAATACCAATTAAACGACATAAACAACTGAGACAGTATGAAGAAAACTCATTAATAAAAGAAACGATCCAAACTGGAGAAATGAAGTTGATCCAAATGATCTGAACAAGTCACATTAAAGCCAGTAGTTTAAGTTGGATCAACTCAAATCTAGCTAAAAGATTTATTTTTAAAATAAATAAATGAAATCCAACAAATGTTTCAATATTTATTTTATCTGAACTCAAAAAAGGTTTTTTTTTAATTTATTCTTTTATTTTACTTGAAGGAGATTTGAGGCCAAAATTAAAAGTGTTTGAAGTTTAATTAGAAGTTGACAGAATTAAAAATAAAAAGAAGCAGAAAGATAAATAAGATTTAATTCATCTATAGCTGAAATAAAGTTGTTTACAGTGTGCATACTGATTGATTGATTGATTGATTATTTCCAGTGTTGCAGCAGCAGTTTACACAAAATAAAACATCATTTAATCTGAACTGAAGACGTGGCGAAAAAAGTAGCATTAAAAAAAAAAAAAAAAAGTGTGTATACTCAGAAAAATCAAAATAGAACTTAAAAGATATGGAGACGTTCTCTAAAGAAGTTCTAAAGACGTTTTTTAAGCATTTGCCGGATGTTGTGTCGAGAACGTCTTTCCCCCTACATGGAACGTTGTAGGAACGTTGTCTACAGAACAACGTTCCCTCAACAACGTCCGCAAAACATTCTCAGAACATTGCGGCCAGAATGTTTGGCCTTTGTTAGCATGTGGCAGTGCTAACAAACTGCTCTGAGAACGTTCCCTCTTTGCTGTTATAAAGGAACAAGTGAAAACGTTCCATCTTGGTTCCCTCCTAACCTCAGAGGAACGTGGCATTGTGAGAGCTGCCTCAATGTTAGTTATAATGTAACAAAACAGGAACACCACGTGGCATAAAAACTAAAGTTCTAGATGAACTTAAAGAACTCTTTAGAACAAGATGAGGCAGAACTCTCAAATAAAACATACTTCTAATGTTCATGTGTTAAAAGTTGAAGGTTCCTGGACGATCTGCCTGCAGCACCACTAAACGGTGACGGTTTTTATCGGAACTGTTCGGTTCTGACACTTTTCCTCTTTTTGCTTCTTACTTTCAGAACCGAGCAGCGGCACGCGGCACAAACCCTCCGGCACCGATCTATTTCTGTGCACGTGACGTTTCTTTGTCCATATTTTCCTGCGCGCCGGTTCTCCTGTTCTCTGTCCCGTCTGCTGTCAGCGTGAAGAACACCATGCGGCCTGCAGAAAGAAAACCTGACACTGTTGATTAAGACGTCCACTGCACAGAGATGAAATACAACACTGCAGAACAGCCTCCACCCCTCCACCCTCCACCCACCCCGCTCTGTTCCTCCGTCACGTTCCTTCTCTCGGTGCATCGCAGACCTTTAACCAGAACCGTTCTGCCGTTTGATCCCGTTCTTTCTGTTCTTCGCTATCGCTGCAGGTGCTGAAAGACCTCGGCAGCTCTAATAGCCTCCTCATAGTTTGCTTTCAGCCCCTAATCGACTCCGCCGAGCAGTCTAAGAACGTTCCCACAACACCAGACGACGTCTCCTACGGGTTCTAATAACTTCATTTATTTATGTTTTTTGTTTGTTTGTTGTTTTTTTTTTTACAGAAAACAAATGTTTGAAGAACCTTCTGAGAACATTTTCATTTTCAGTAATGTTCCTATGAAGTTCAATTAAAAAAGTTTTAACATCAACATTCAGAGAACGTTATTGTGGAACACAGCTGATGTTCCATGATAACACAGGAGGAGCGTTCTCAAACCAATATTCCGTTTTCCAGATGTTATTAAGGCCTCGGATTATTATTATGCAACGTTCCAGTAATGTCCTGAGGATGTTTTGGTGATGTTGTTGAGGGAACACATTACAGAACGTTCTTCTATACAATGATACGAGGGAAAGATGTTCTCAGTGCAACATCTGGAACGTTTTCAAGACGTTATCAAGGCCTCAGATGACAGAACGTTTCTATTCAGAACATTTCTCAGAACATTACAGGAACGTAACATATTAAAATTGGAATATTTTGACTTGATGTTGAGGAAACAAATTAAACAAACATACAAAACAACTTCTAAAAAAAAAAAGGTTTTCAAAATGTTATCGAGACCCCAGAAGACAGAACGTTCTTTACAAGACATTATTCAGGAAAAACATTGTAGAACATTCTTCTCAAACAACATTCAGAAAATGTTTTCCAGATGTTAACAAGGCCTCAGATGACAGACGTTTTCAAACGTTACTGTAGTGTGATATATTAAATGAAGAACATTCGTTGATGGAACATATTATAGAACGTTCTTCTATAAGATGTTTCTCCAAAGGTATCAAAGGCAAGATGTTCTCAATGGAACATTCAGAAAACATTTTCAAGATGTTGTTGAGACCTTAGACGACGGAAGTTTTTTTTTCCAAGACGTTCCTGCACTGCGATATACTAACAAAGGTGGAACACTCTGACTTCGGAGTATGACGATGTTTTAGTCGTGCTCTTGAGGCAAATGTTGTTGAATCTATGAAATGTTCCCACAATGTTCCACAGTGTCATGTGATAACAATGGAAGCGCGTTCACAGTGCAACATTTGGTTTTGGGAATGTTTGAGCATAACAGTGTTATCACCAAACATTTTTAGAACAACTTTAGTTATCCTGCCTTTAAGGCTGGAAACATTAGTAGATGTCTAAGAATGTTCTGGAAAGTTCTGCTAATGTTCTCAATGTGTTTTTGGGCAGTTATTTTTATTTTTTTTCTGGCAAAAAAAAAAAAAGTTTGCAGAATGTTGGTTTTAGAACATTCTGTCTTTATCATGCAACACTGTGGGGATGTTTTATAGAACAACGTTCTATAATGTTGTTCTGTTAACAACATCCCTAAAACATCCTCAGAACATTGTAGACAGAATTTTCCACTTTCGGTAATACATCACAGTACAGGAACATTTAATAGAAAATTTTCTGGGGCCTCAATGACATCTTGAAAGTTATTTTTGAAAGTTGTCTGAAGAACGTTCTTACTAAGTTATCATGGAACGTAATCTGACAGCTTCCTCCAAACATCTTTGTT